GAGCTGGAATATTTAGTGTGAAATTTAGTTTTCTTTGGAAAGGAATAGATGCTCAGTTGCCTCTTAGAAGTGAAAGCCTGAAATATTCATTAGCCTTTATATCTCAAAATATACTTCACCTTGAAAACTATTTAAGTCACTGCCACCTCCCACTCCCCAGCCTTTGTAAAAATCATCTATATTACCACTTCTGGACCTGAAGCCTCTAGGCCTGGGTGTTCTGAGCTTTCCTTTGCTGGGTCCCTGAGGACCTGCGGAGATGGCTGGGTGGGGTCAATTCAGTCCAGGAAGCACAGAAATTCTTTTAAGTGTATGTGTCTGGGGTATTTTTCTCTCTCACTTACGTGTATTTAAAAAAATTCTTTTTAGACACCCACTTTATCTTTCCCAAACATCATTTCCTTGCTCCTTTCCTGAGTTCTAGCAGTGGCTGGGGGCCCAGCTTCCTTGTTGGCCTCAGAGCTGTGGAGGGGGTGGGCCGGGGCTCAAAGGAGGTGGGAGTCAGGAACTGGGGCGGGGGAGCTGTTTGTGCTGCTGGAACTGCCTTTCCTCCTTGCCTTTGCCACCAGGGCGCTGGCTGGTTCCTGGAGCAGTCTTCACTTCTATCCAGCCCTTGACACTGGTTGTTATTCCCTAAGGCTGTGGTCACAGCAAAGCCCAAGCAGGCTGATGGCCATACCTTGCTCTCTAGGTTACTACTTTTTGTCCTGGAAACGGGGACCTGATTATGCCTGAGCCCCTTGGATGACACTCAGGATCTTGGGCTGCTGGCCTCACACCCCAGGAGTTCTTAAAGTATAAGGCAGCTAAGAGAAGACACCGACTGGAGTGCTTGATGGTGGGAGTGGATACCTAGGTGGGTACCTCATTCACCTAAGTCATCTGTCCATCCTGAGCAACTTCCATGGTAGGTACAGCCAGTAACTATGGCTGATTTGGCTCTGACCTCTTTGCTTTCTTCTGCTGTGGTTCTTCCGTGTCTTTGTTTTCTTCCTAATGCAGGCATCTTGGGGCAATAATTTATATAATGTGTTCATTGATAGTGCCTAATCCAGTTTTTGGGGAAAGGATATGTGTTAGAGTCATCCTTATATTTGGATCTTGGCTGTGTAATTGATGGTTGAAATTTTCTGACACTTTTACTTATCTTTCATCATCCTCCTTCCCCACTGGAGGGGATATTTTTAAGTCCAGGACCATTTAAATCTTTTTCTGACTGCTTCTTGAGTGGTGGTTATGGCAAACATGAAATATGTAAGCTTTCTGAGACAGATCCCTTAGGGCAGGAGGGGTCATGTGGTATTCTAGAAAGAGCTGAAGTCTTTTTCCCTAGCCCTTCAAATTTTTATTATTAATCGTGTGTGTGTGTGTGTGTGTGTGTGTGTGTGTGTGTGTGCGTGCGCACGCCTGCACATTTGTAGAGGTCAGAGGACAACTTTGTGTGTAATTAGTTCTGTACTCCACATTTAAATGGGTTCTGGGGATTGAACTCAGATCATTGGGCTTGGGTGGCAACTTCTTTCTTTACCTGTTGATCCATCTTGCCAACGCTGGATCTAAATTTTTACCCTAATTATAACCATATAGAGCTACATGGTTATGAGCTACATGCTTCTGGAAAATAGTTTAAGTCTCCTATCTCTGTTTCTCCAAATATTTCTTACGTGAGGTTAAAATGAGGATTAGCCACTAATACATGTGAATTTCTTGGTGCCTCACATAGTCCAGTATTCAAGAAAGGCCTCTGTTGTATATTTTTTTTAGTGTATAGAATAGCTATATCAGGCACTATGCTAATTGATTCATACATGGGATTGCGTTTAATCCAAACCACAACCCATGAGAAAGAGCTGCCTCCCAATTTATGTATAAAGAATATGTAACTCAATATACTGGTGTACAACTTGGTAGTAGAGTACTTACCTAACACACATGGGCCTAGTCCAGAACTCTTGCCCCAAGTACTAACAGTACTAATAGTGTTCTAGTCCAGAACTCTTGCCCCAAGTACTAATCTTCAACTCTGAAAATGATTTTTTTTCAAAGTCACACAATTAGGATTTGAACACAAGTGGGATAAGTAGGAAAATTCACAGATGATGATAGGCCAAGTATTGGACTTCACAGGGAATTTTTTTCTCTTTCCTAAAGTAGGATTAAATGGCACTAGCTGTGGCTCTAATTTTCTCTACATGGATTTTCCTCCTACCAGCCTTTCATTTTTCTCCTAGTGTCCCCAAAGCCCCAACTGCCTTCCTCTTTCTCCTCTGGGATATTTGCTACTCCTACAGAAACCCTAAAGACACTAAGGGGACTTTGTATATTATCTTTCGTAGTGTGACAAGGGAGTGGTAGATTAGAACTGTGACAGTAGTTGGTCAAGCATCCTTAGTTAGAGGTACCATTGATCCATATAAATGTACAAGTTTGAGCTAATAGCCATTATTAGAGTGCCTGCTATTTACTGACCACTTGGTAATTCATTAAACTGTTTACTGGATGCTTTGAGAATATTTCTTCTAATATCAAAGTAACTTAGGCAGGTGAGAATACTGTCTCTAATTCCCATAATAACCTAGCCAGGTGAGAAGCACCCTTCTCAAGAAAACATGAAGCTCAGATGGTTTGGCTCACATAGTCACAGATCTAAAATGCTACAGTTGTTTTTGAATCATTGCCTACTGGTAGAGTATAGTTAATAGGACAAAGCTAAAATTCATGAAATGATGTTAAGCAATACAAAATAGCATGCTATGTTGGGCTAAATTGTAAGGAGTAGATGACTTGGGACAAGCTCCCTGAAAGAGATGATACTTGAGCAGTGCATTTATTTACTTTGATTTGTACAGTCTTTAGAACTTCATTTCCATAGATGTACAAATTAATGACCATTGAGGATATTCCCATTTTAGTACCATCATCAAAATTATAGTTCTGAGGGGCTGGAGAGATGGATCAGTGGTTGAGAGCACTGGCTGCTTTTGCAGAGGACCTGGACTTAGTTCCTAGCACCCACGTGGCAGCAAACAACCATCCATAACTCCAGTTCCAGGGGATCCGACAGACACCCTCTTCTGACTTCTGTGGACATTGCACGACACGGTTGCACTTACATACATGCAAGCAATATACTCACACACATAAAATAAAAAATAATAAATAAAATACTTTAAAAGTTATAGTTCTGAGGTATAAAGTCACTTATTATAAACAACAGAAGATAGTAAGTGATAGAGTTGTGACTTAATCCAAAGTAGTCCAACCTCAGGGATTAAATTCTACTAGAAAAATGGTTAACAGTAAAAGTAGAGTTAAAAAGGGAGTAAGCCAGCTGAAACTTTACCTGGCTTTTCTCTCTGCGAATTTTAGCCACTGCTACTGACCTGACTTTGGCCTTTGACAAGTAGCTTTTTCTGCCCTTTCCGTACCTCCTTGTCTGTGTCTGGCCTATTACCATACAGTCTTCTATCCCCTGAACGACTTGTTCCTCAGGACTACCATTTTAGGCTTTTGTCTTGAATTGCCTGGATCTTCTGTATTTGTTCATTTCTAGAGAGGCGGAAATCCTCCTACCACTACTCAAGGGAGATAGAAAGCCCATTTGTTCAGCTATATAGCAAGCTTGCTGACAACAGGAGTCCTTATCTGCTCTATCAGTGCCTAATATGGAGCCTATGAGTAAATCAGTAAATAATCTATGATCTACTTATCTCTCCATGATCTGCTTATTTAATACCTCTTTCTCTTATAGTACCGTTCATTTGCCTAGACTCCATTTTATCTCTGTGGTATATTTCCCCATAATCTTTCACAAAATCTTTCCCCTTTCTGTCATGTTTTTCCGAATGTCATTTCTCCTTAACTCTAGCATCTGCCTGGCCCATCTGCCACCTTTCCCTTTCCTCCACTCCCTTTCCCTTCCCCATCTCCTTACCCTTCTTTCCTCCCTTCCCTCTCCCTCCCCTCCTCTTCTCCTCTAGCTTCCTACCCCCTCTTGCTCATCCCTGACCCCTCCTTCTCCCTCTCCTATTCTCCTGCCCATCAGTCATCTCTGTCTCCTAGCTTTACCATGCCCCAAATGTGTTCTTTTCCATTTGTAGGAGTGGCATGTAATCATATAAAGTATGCCAAGGAACAGGGATGAGTTCTGTATAAACAAGTCAGTGCAAGAGTTGTGGGCCCAGCCTTTAGCACCAGATGGACCCTCTAGCTATATTCAAGGCCTTTGCTTCATACCCGTTTCCCGTGATTTACCTATGGCCTGCTGAGCACCCAGTCTGCTCTCCCAGTCTAGTCTATGCTGATGGCCACTTTGTTTTGTGCCCCTTTCACAAGAGTTGGGACTCCTTGCTACCCCTTTGCCTAAAAATTGCTTCTGTACCCATCATATCCTTCAACTCTCTCAGGGTGTGTATTAAGCTTTACTTCAATTAACTCCATCTTTCATGAATCTGCAAGCCCTCAAGGGTACAGTCTGGTTTGGTTTGTGTCTGTATCCTCAGGACCACATGTATTATCTATGACACATAGTAAGCACACAATAAATGCTTAGAGAATGAATGAGAAAATATTGAACAGTTGACATTCCAATTCTGACTTGTTCAAACATCTTAATTACTTGCCTCTTTTTACAGAAAAAAATGGGAAGACTGGTCATAGTCAGATCTTTTTCTTCAAAGACAAGTGAGGGTAGGCTTGGTCAGCAGCTCTCATGTATGCCACAAGTATTTATTTAGCATCTACTATGTGCTTAGCATTAGTGTATATACTTAGAATATGTTTATGAACAAAATATTACTATGAAGTAGATATCTATGTCTCCAGGAATCACCCATAGGATTAATGATATTTGAGTAGTGGAGCTGAGAGAAGGGGCACTTAGATGCCCAAACTAGCTTCCTGTAAGGTATTCTACCTCATTGAAGGGAAAGAGGGGGTAGGGACTGAAGTTCCTTAGGAAGTGATTTCAGTGCTGACTTCCTGCCTTTTTCTTATTGTAGGAGAGACACCCCTGTCAGTAGGCCGCACTCATGGCATGTGGCCAAGCTGCTGGAGGGGTGCCCTGAAGTGGCCACCACCATGCATTTCTCTTCTAAAGCCTTCAGCTTGTCCTGTCATTCTGGTTGTAGCACAAGGTGAGTCTAGGGCCCTCCCCTGAAGGTGGAATAGAGGGTGAACAACCTGACTAGTCTCCTGCTCCAATCTGGTTCCTGCTGGATGTATTAGAGCTGATAGTGGTATAAAAGAAAATTGCATGACTGTCTAGTGTCCCTGGGTTCTCGTCTAAGTACACTGCTAAGTCCATGACTTTGGGTCTGCTTCTTGACCTCTTGATCACATTTCCTTGCAGTGTAACCTTATTTGGCTTAAAAAGATGACCACTGCCCTGCTTCTCCTACTATTTTATTAGCTATTCTTTCTCAGTCCCTTTTTGTTTCCTTTCTTCCCCCCCCCACTCCTCAACCCAACTACTACTCTCTTAATGCAGGATGAGGTTTCTCTATTTATAATCACTCACCAAGAACTTCCTCTGGTTTCCATTGGCTCTATCACAGAGCAAAAGTCTCCAAAATGGGGAGCTCCCAGAGTCACAGGGTCTATCTCAATCGATGGAAATTGATATTGTCTGTTATTGTTGAAACAACTACTCAAGGGGCAATTCACTCTTTTTAACAGTCTCAGAACCAGTCAAGATATGGCCCTCAGCTGCCTTTTCCCTTCAATAATCAGCTCTCCTTCCCAAGAATGGATTTCTGGAGGCTAGAGAGATGACTTAGTGGTTAAGAGCACTGGCTGTTCTTTCAGAGGACCTGAGTTTGCTTCCTAGCACATAGATAATAGTTAACAATAGTCCATAACTCTAGTTCCAGGGGATCCAATACTCTTCTGGCCTCCACAAGGCATTGTACGACATGGGTGCACTTATAGACATCAGGCGAAATGCTCATACACATAAAGTAAAAATAAATTTTTAAAAATCTTTTAAAGAGTCAATTTCTGTTTTGTAGGTTTAAGGAAGCTAAGGAGTGAGGTTGCCCAGTTTGGTGACTTTATTTGGTATTAGAAGCCAGAGTCTCAGGGCACAGTCAGTTTTGTTCTAGAAGAATAGGCAGAAATACATTCTGGGTTTGGCTCCTATTTGATTGGGTGTGGATGGGTGTGTATTTTTTCAGCTGGAAGGGTGGTGAGGTGGGTAGCATGTTCTCTTGCCAACAAGAAATTGATGGTTTCTTAGCCCAGAGGACAAGTGAGCAGAGTGGCTAAGGGGCCATGAAAGGAGCAAGAGTAAGGGGGAACTGGCCTGGGCTGCCATCACAGCTCAGCTTTGGCATTCTGAGTTATGACCTTTCTGAGAACAACCTGTAACCTCTGGGGTTCTAGTCAAAGAGAGTTACTGGCATAACTTGGCTCAGTCTGGATATGTGTGTGGGAAATGGTACTTAACATTCAAAATTGTGTCTGATCCTTGGTCTCTGTACTTTGATTTGGCTTTAGGAGATAAGGGAAGCCTAGATAAGCAAAGACCACTATAGTATCAATCCTAGTAGTAGGAATGACATTGATAAGAATAACAACAGTCAAGAGAGCAGCTACTGCCATGCAGTGAACCTTTGCTAGCTGCCTGGGCACTGACAACAGCTCTACATTTCTTATGTGATTTCATCTACATGGCAGCCCTCTGACAGAAATATTATGATTCTTCCCATGTGAAAGATATTATCAGAGAGGAGCTAAGACATTTGGACTAAGAAAGACCTGAGTTCCAACTGAGGCTCAGCTTCTTTAGCAGCTTAGTGAACTAGTGAGTTTGTGTCACCTCCTGAGCTATAAAGTGGGGGAAATAACCTCCCCATTTGATATTAGCATGGAAGGTTGTAAAGTGTCAGGCACATCGTACCTCTCCTTGGTGAATACTTAGAATTTTTATTATCAAGAAAAATAGGAGCTAAGAATATAGTCCAAGAATGGAGATGGGGCTGTAGCCCAGCAATAGAGCCTTTGTCTAGCACGTGCCAGCCTCTGCATTCCATGCCCAGAACTACAAATGCAAAGGAATGGAATACAATGAAATGAATGAAATGAAGCAAAATAAAATGATAATGGAATGGAATAGAGAAATACTTAAATTCCAACCCTCAATGTGCTACTAGTTAGAGCTTGTGAAAATTGCTTTCTCAAAGTCAGTTACCCTTCGTAGGGTTTATTTTATTGACACCAGTGGTTTTTAAAGTGTGATGAAGCACAATAGCCTGTATTATAACAAGTCCTCCATGTGATTGTGATGGTCTGGCTGAAACATTCTGAATTGGCTCTGTTGGGCTCCTCTTTAATGCTGATATTCTGTGCTGTGTCTTCTGGCAGAGAGTCACATGCTGATTCGGCAGGGATATGGTCAGCTCAGAAACAATTTCAGATTTGCTGTTAGCAGTGACATAGCATATAATCCCCATGACATTTTCCCATTCTTTGGGATGGTTGTTCATCCTTCTATATGTAATCTTGTATCCCATTTTGTGATGTCCCTGTGCTATCCCAGTGTCGATTTCCTTATTTCCCTCTCTTCCTTTGTTGCGTCATTGCTCTTGCATTTATATCATGGGTGATTCTGATTTGTCCTGACTTTTCTCATGGTAGAACTGACCAAGGTGGGAAAGGGATCTGATTGCTTAACTAACTAATGAGTATACCTTGTTTCTTACAGTGACATTTGTGTGCAGTGGTGTCCCCTTTCCCGGCACTGCAGCACTGAGAAAAGAAACTCCATTGGCAGCATGGAGAGCCTGGAGCAACCAGGCCAACCAACCTACGAGGGCCACCTCTTGCCCATTGAGCAGAACATGTACCCTAACCAGCGTGACTCAGCCTATAGCTCCTTCTCAGCCAGCTCAAATGCCTCTGACTGTGCCCTTTTTCTCAGGCCAGAGGAGCCACCCTCAACAGACTGTGTCACACCAGGCCCAGGACCAACAAAAGCCACCAATGGCTTATCTAATGTGTCAGAAACCTCAGGAAGTAGCCATCACACCAGTGGGAGCCATCTTACTTCTACCTCCCACATGGCATCTTGCCTACAGGAGGTCCACCACTCAGGACCTGCCAAAATGGTCAGGGGTCCACCACAGCCTCCAATTAGGCGGGACAGCCTTCAGGCCTCCAGAGCTCAACTCCTCAGTGGAGATCAGCAGCGGGCTTCTGAACTTGTGGACTCCTTGCAACAGAAGGAGAAACCTGGCTTAGAGATAGTGCTATCCCGAAGGAATCCTAACCAGTTATGCTGCCTTAGCAGACAAGACTACGTAGCAGATGAGGGTCATCAGAACTGTGAGCTCAGCCAGACTCCTGGATCCAACCAGCAGGGCCCTGAGCATCTACTGATGACAGACAGTTCCTCCAAAGCTCTTGGTTCTCCAAAAGCCGGTGACAAAGCTTCTTGCACAGAGTTTAGCCTACTCAATGATTCTTCAGCAGAACTGGCTAACACACTGCCCTTCTATAGTACACCACACCTCCCAGGAACTATAGAACATCGCCACAGTGCCCCTGAACAAGTGCTGGCATCCCACCCACCGCAGGTGCACCTTGATTCCAGAGGCAGCAAAGGGATGAAGTTGCCAGCTGGGCAGGATGGGCAGCAGTGGACTCTGTCCCCTGTGCACAACAACCCTAAGGGGGAGAAAAGTCCATGTTTTCCCACAGGAGGCACCCAGGACCAGACCATCAAAGAAAGGAAGACCAGGCCAATAGATGATAAGCTGTTTGGCTCAGTACACCAGAGCCAAAGGGGTTTCCCACATGGAGAGGCTGGTGGACACCCTCCAGAACAAACTTTCCTGAACCCAAACAGAGCAAGCAAATCAGGCAGTGAATTGGCCAGCCAGCAGCCCTCCGCTTCTGGCTACCCCATTCAACAAACCAGACACCTCTCTTCAACCACTAAAGCAGCTGGTGGCACAGAAGAGACTGAAGAAGGTAACAGTGAGCCCAAGGAGTGTTGTTGGATGGGTGGCAGGAGAAGTGGAGGCCCCCGGGGCCGCTCCATCCAAAACAGGCGGAAGAGCGAGAGATTTGCTACCAATTTACGTAATGAAATTCAGAGGAGAAAAGCCCAGCTCCAAAAGAGTAAGGTTCCCTTGTCACACTTGTGTGACACTAAGGAGCCAGTGAAAGAGACCCAGGAGCATCCAGAAAGTCCTCCACTCTCTGCCTCTAACTCTTCTCTTCTATCTTCATATAAAACAAACTCTAGTCCCAAAGAAAGGCTCCTCAACAAAAGCATGATCCTCAGGGCTAGGTCTTCAGAATGCCTCAGCCAAGTCTCTGAGAGCTACAAATCCAGGATAGACTTAGAAGGACAAATAAGCCCTGACCAGAGGTCTGGCCAATCTTCTTTGGGCCTGAACACCTGGTGGAAGGCATCTGACCCATCTTCCTCAGACCCTGAGAACACAAATGCTCACCGTGGAGCCTATGGAGGTCATTGGAGATGGTCTACAGAGAATAACCCACAGTCACATGTGGCACTACCCTTGGAAGGGCCTTCCAGTGTAGATGATGAGGAATTGAAGACTTCTACTGCCCAAGCTGGGGAGGAAGCCATCCTTTTGCCATTTGCAGACAGAAGAAAGTTCTTTGAAGAGAGTAGCAAATCCTTATCCTCATCTCATTTGCCAGGTTTAGCTACTCATTCTAACAAGACTTTTACCCAGAGACCAAAACATACAGACCAAAACTTCCAATCAATGACTTATAGGGAATTGAGATGCCATCCTTTGGACCAGTCCTATCATTCCACAGACCAACCATATCATCCTACAGAACAAGCATATAATTCCATTTCACCCCTTCAATCAGAAACTCCCACTTACTCAGAGTGCTTTGCTAGCAAAGGTCTAGAAAATTCCCTTTGCTGTAAGCCACTGCGTTGTGGTGAGTTTGATTACCATAGAACATGCTCTTATTCCTGCAGTGTTCAGGGAACTGTAGTCCACGACCCTTGCATTTATTGTTCTGGAGAAATCTGCCCTGCCTTGCTAAAGAGAAATTTGATGCAAAACTGCTACAACTGCAGGTGCCACCACCAATGCATCCGGTATACAGCTTGCTATCATAATCCTCAACATGGTGCTCTTGAGGACAGCAGTTTGGCATCTGGCAATGCTTGGAAACCCAGGAAGCCAGCAGTACAGGTGAGCACTTGATTCTTGGGTGGGTGAAATTAATGATTATCCTTAGGAAGAGGAGGCTAAAGCATTTGAAAACATAATTATAATTTATTAAAACCTTTCTGCAACACTCAGCCTGTGCAATCTTCGAATTTGAGAAAAATAATTTTTGCTCCCCAAAATGAGCAGAACTGGTATTTCTATTCCAACTGTAAAATGAGTATCTGAATGACCTTAAGCAAACCATGCAAACACTACAATTTGAAGTTATATGATTTTCAACAATATTTTTTATTGATTTGAGAATTTCATGATCATATTCAAACCTCCCCCACTTCTCCATACCCACCTTATTAACCCCCCGAATTCGTGTCCTTTTTTATTATTTGTCCTTTTTTTTAAGCAAATGTTTATTCAGTCTAATTGTGTTTCCAAAATGCTCTTTAGTGTGAATCTACCCTTAGTCTGGTCAACCTCCCAGGCATCATACCAGTAAGGAAAACGACTCTTCTCTCCTAGTAACTATCAACTGCCAACAGATCAGCTAGGGTTGGAGCTTATTGCCCACCTTCCCCCTTCATGCTGGGTTTTTGTCTGACTTGTATTTGTACAGGTCTTCTACATTGCTGTCAAAGTGCTGTGAGTTCTTATGTGCAACCGTTCTGTGGTATCTAGACAACACTGTTTCCCTGTATTTATCACTTTTCTCTGGCGCTTACAGCCTTTCCACCCCCTCTTTTGCAATGATATCTGAGCCCTGGGAAGTGCGGATACATTATAGGTGTCCCATTTAGGGCTGAGCACTCCACAGTATCTTATCCTTTGCATGTTGATGAGTTGTGGGTCTCTGTATTAATCACTATCTCCTGTAAGAACATTCTCTAGTCAGAGTTGAGAGATGCAGTACAGTAATCTAAGGGTATAGTGATCAGTAATTATGAGTCAGTTTAATATTGTATCTCTTTAGCAGAATAGTAGTAGATTCTCCCCCTATGGCTTCAGGTTCTTGACCCTGATAACAGTGCCAGATATGGATTCCATCTTGTGAAGTGGGGCTTCAATTGAATAAGGTGGTTGGTTAATCCCACGGTATTCATGCCACTATTGCACCAATGGGCACATTTTGTGAAGCCAGTTATTGTAACGCACAGAGTTCATAGGTGGGTACAGTTGATAATTACTTTTCTTTGTTAGTAACATTCATAGCACCTTCTAGTACTATGAAAACTAGTCCACAGAGGTGAAGCTTTGAGGTCAGTACCAGCTTGATTTCTCCTCATTTGTTCTGTGACTCAGCCATGTCTTCAGTAACAGGGTCTTGCCATCAAGTTCTGGTGTGTACCCAATTGCAGTGGTAATAGCCAGTATTATTTGAGGGACCTCCCCAGTCAACAACTCCAAAAGAGGGAGTTCATTCCTGGCATTGAGCTTTTTGTTTGCTAGCCTATGGTGTCTATTAAGACCACTGAAGTCCTGTTTTGGGTAACTACATTTAAACTTTTTTCTTTATTAATTTTGTATGTGTGTTTATTTCATACAGAACATCTCAAACAATCTTAATCATCTTTATACCCCCACCCCCATTGGCACCCTCCCATACCCTCCCCACCCCACTGGAGCCTATATACTCTGTCATCCCTGTTACTGCCCACTGTGTTGTCAGTGTCCCCATCCGTTCCCCAGTGCAGGTCCATCCACTGAGTCTAGTCAGCCTATGTAGAGTCCTTTGTTTTAGGAAAATCAGCTCTTCTTCATCTAGCAGCAATCAGTTGCCAACATTCCTTCAGGTAAGATTGGAGTCTGGTGTTCATTTTCCCAGTTCTATGATGGGTTGCTGTCTGTCTGAGTTTGCATGGAACTTGTGTATGCTGACACCTATGCCATTGAGTCATGAGCAGGTTCCCAGGAGCTTGTAGGACTGTTTCCATATGGTCATGCACATCCTCCCTGGCTCTTACAATCTTTCCACCCCCTCTTCCATGACAGTTCCTCATCTTTGGGGGGATGAAGTTTAATGAAGGGGTCCTGTCCAAGGATCATTATTTAGCAGACTCTTGATCTCTACACTTTGGTCATTTGTGACCTTTTGTGTTCCTGGCCCTTGGCTGCATAAGGGAGCTTCATTACTGAGTTCCCTCAGTCAATATTCACTATGATTCATTAGTGTCCTCTTCTTTATCCCTGTTCTATATTCTCTGTATAGAAATACAATTGAACTTTGCATATTGGCCTTGTATCCTATAAGTTCGTTGAATTTACTGATTAATTATAGTAGCTTTTTGGTGAATTATAGATTAGATATATAGGCAGTCACATTATCTTGGAACAGAAGGAATTTTGTATCTTTGTTCACAGCCTATATGCTCTTTCCTAGAAAAAGGGAGCCCAACACATTGTCTAGGACCTCTAAGGCAATGTTCAGAAGAAATGGTCAGAGTCTGCCCTCATTGTCACCCTGTTCCTCATCTTTCGCCATGAAGTTTGGTAGCTATTAATTCTGTAGTAGCTGTTGTTCTATAGTTGTCCTTTATCAGGTTGAGGAAATATTATTTATTCTTAATTTCAGAGAGTTTTTCTTCTTAATTAGGTATGGATTTTTTCAAATGCCTTTTCTGGGCCTATTGAGAATACCATACAAACTGTATAGTTTTTCTTTTTGTCTAAATGTTGAGTGAATTACGTTGATTAGATTTTGAAATAAGCATCTACCTAACATTGACAGGATAAATCCTACATAGTCATGATGTAGCACCTTTTGTTATTTGTGACTAGATTTTATTACCTTTTCATTAAGGACTTTCATATTTATGTTAAGAATTTTAGTATGTACTTTATTGTAAAATCTTTGAGGTTTTGTAGGTAGGTAATGCTGGCTTTAAAGAATGAGGTGAGACGTTTTCCCTTCTATTTTCAAGAAGAGTTTGTATAACATTGGTATTATTTCTTCCTTACGCATTGGGTGGAATGTATCATTGAAATTATTTGGGCATGAAGTTTTCTTTGTGGGAATGTTTAAACTAAAAATTTAATTTCCCTAATAAAAACAGGGATTTTGAGGTTATGTTTTTTTCTTGAGTGAGCTTTGGTAGTTTGTGGCTTTTGAGTTATTTTATTTCATTTAAATTTTCACATCTATGTAGATGAAATTGTTCAAACTTAATGCTTTGAAGTGCATCCAGAAATTTAAAATGAACCAGTTGATGAATAGAGAAGTAAACAGATATATGGTAGTGTGAATGTAGCAAAATGTTAATTGCAGGCTCTAGATAGTAAATACATGTAAGTTCACAGTAAACTTCTTTCAAATTCTTGGTATATTTTAAAATATTCACAATGCTGGTAAAAGAAAAGAAGAAATATAGAATAATGCCCATAGGGCATTAAAGCTAAAACCAGACTGCCCGGGTTCAAATGCCTTCCCTAGAATTTATAGTGCCTAATCTTCCTCATATAATAAATGAAAATAGTAACAGAACCTTCTTCATAAGCTGGTCATGAGGATTAAATGGTAGGCATGTGAAAAGGTTTTAGAATAGTGACTGCCAGAAAACAATCATCTTATAAGTAAGCTATTTTAAGATGAAGGGAAATTGTGGCTTAGCTTGAGAAATCTTGGCAGACTGTAGGACTCACAAGCAGGTAATAAGGAAAGGGGGTGACAGTGAGGAAGAAGGGAGATAATGGCAACCAATATGTCATCTCAGGACCACCACCTCTGTAAGGGATTGGGGCACAATTGATATGTAGCAGCAGTTGGCTATAACAATGTAAGTGAACCTGTGCCTATTCCATGCCTCTTTTGTACTTGGAGAGAGGGGCACATTGGGTTCCTAATATCTGTTAGACTAGCTAAGCAGATCTCCTTACAAACTAGGCTTTCAAATAAGTGGATGACTGTGTAGGAACCATTGTGGACTCATTCTTACCCTTGTCACCTGAGACTTATACCCCTCACCCTGTGAGACTTGGAGAAATCTTGCAGCACAGGTTCAGATATTCTGTCTCTGGTGATTAAAGTAGTTGTGGTGGCTCTCTGAAATAGTACTGAGATCCTGCCCTTTCTGTCCTAAAGAAAGTTGAGGCACTTACTGGCTCTGGTTCAGTAATGCCTAGAGAACTGAAATCATATACTCACATCTCACCTATTTTATTTGTGCCTGTTAATTTTACATACTCTGCCACACGATGTCATTTAACACTTCTATGAGGCAGTTGAGGAAACTGAGTCTGAGAAAGGTTACACATCTCACAAGTTGGAGAATCAGAATTTAAACAGCATCACAATAACTGGTAAATGATTGTCCACTGGATTCTGCGTGCTTTAGATGTATCAATTCATTGAGTCTTCAAGTAATTAAGAAAAAGCTACTCTGGCCATAAATATGCTAACACCATATATAATTATTATATTAAAATATGGTATAATATGTCTAGCATTAATGTATGTATATCTGTATAACTAAGATAAAGGGAAGTTGAGGCCATTCAGTTGGTGAAGGGCAGGTATGGGATTTGAAGCTCTGCCTCTAGCTGCAGAAGCCATGCCACCTTGCCTCTCCATGAGTAGATTACAAAGACCAGGGCCTTTCCCATGTGGCAGGTAGAATGCCTTCTAGCAGTATCACTTCCACCAGGACTGAAAGTTTCACTACAATCCTCAGCTGCAACCTGTTGTAGAGATTATTGCCTCTTTGGCTCAAAGGGCACAGGCCAGTTACAGGAACCTAAATGGCTCAGGAAAAAGAGCAAAGTGATACTGGCAATTCAGAAAGGTAGGTGGGTAAAGAGATTTGTCTGGTTTGCCCACTGCTGTTTACTTTCTTTAAATTTCTCTTCCTTTCTTTTTCTTTCTTTCTTTCTTTCTTTCTTCCTTTCATTTTGATTTTATGTGTATGAGTGTTTTGCATGCATATATATAAGTGCATCCATGTCATGCAAAGCCCATGAAGACCAGAAGAGAGCATCAGATCCCCTAGAACTAGAGTTACAGATGGTTGTTAGCTGCCATGTAGGTACTGCAGTAATGGGACCCAAGTCTTCTGTAAGAGCAGCCAGTGCTCTTAATTGCTGAGCTGTCTCTCCAGCCCCTCTCTGCTATTTTCTAATCACTTCCATAGGGCTAGACAGCATGGACAGGAAACCTTGCCTCTTGCTGTGCCTAAACAAGTTGTGGTGCCTTTGTAGGCAGAATCATCTCACAAAGGTGTCAAGCCCAAATCTTCAGTACAGATTGTTCGAGCTTCTCAGCTTTCCCCCAAATGGGGACTACTCTGGTTTTATGAAAGCTGAAGCCAAGAAATAAGCCCTGTCTTTTCCATAGCTGCTAATATCCAGAACATTCATTATAATTTTTTGAGACTGAATCTTGGTGTGTTGTCCAGGCTGGTCTGGAGCTCATGAGCTACAGCCTCCCACGTTCTAGGACTACTGAGCATTCTATGTGTCATGAACTATGCCAAGCATTCTCGTCACACATTTTATTTGACCATCACTGGCACTCTTTAGTTTCCAAATAGCAAAATGAGATTTGAGGTGGGGTCTTAGCCAGTATGACAGGCACCAAGTACCTATGTTAATTCTGCTTCACCAGGTGTCTGTCCCCAAAAGGGAGACCTGCTGCAGCTAAGGCAATAAACCTTGGAAGAGAATAATAATGGTGCCAGACAAAAAGGGAATATGGAAGCTCAATGAAGCTTAGGAAAAACTGTGCATTCCCTTTTAAGCAAATTTTATATATTTATTTATTTAATTTTTTGTATGAATGTCATACATGAATATGTCTTTGCATTATTTCCATCCCTCCCAGCACTCCTCCAACTATTCCCATGTGGCTTTGAGTCTTTAGGTAGAAGGTGCTGAATGCAAAACTAGGAAAGCATCTGGAAAGCAAATAGGCATTCAGTTTCAGACTTGAGTAAGAATACAAGGAAATATTTACAAATCTCATGCATGGCTTGAGGTAAAGACCCACTTGGGCATAGTAATTAAGGAAAATATGTCCAGGCACTCATATCTCCCAGAGATGAGTCCACCTAAGCCTCTGTCCACCCTGGGAGAGGATTACTGTGGCAGGACCTCCTGCCCTCAATGTTTCTTCAAGGTCAGGGCTTCAAAGAAGATGCTTTCTCTATTGGAAGAGACAGGAAGAGTGAACAGGTTCATCCAGTAGGACAAACAAAACGACCTCCATCCCATAGTGCAGGCAAGAGCCAGAGCAAACAGTAAACATGCTAAACTGGTTTTTGCCTTGGTTTGGGAGGGGAGTGGAGCAAGGGGGAAATGCAGCATTCCTGGCCTATGGTGTCCAGGCCTCTCCTGGTGCTTTCTATATATCTGCATGATGGCATGGCTCAACAGGCCTCCCATCAAAAAGGGAGGCCTTCCAAGTACACATTTCTGTAGCCTGTCTAGGGGCGGGGGGTACATGCTACAAGTCAGGGAGCCTACGCAGGAACAGGTTTCTGACTGCCTAGTACTTTTAAAACTATCTGGATACCTGGCTGTTCAAAGATCCCTAACTTGTCAGAATTTTCCTTTGCAGGAATTTCCTGGGGACAAATGGAAACCAATAACAGGGAGCAAGAAGACTAGCCAGTCTGGGAGGTAAGTGAAAGCTCAGAGAGCTGGGGTGATTTTTGTGCCTCTGAGATTTTTATAGAAATTGCTATGGTTTTTGGTTTGCTTACTTTCCTTTGAAGAAACTGGTCTTGTATTCACACCAAGGATTTGTTGCCATAGATGTAATCCAGTGTGCACCCTACCTCAAAATCTGAGTATAGACCCAAATGATCAAGAGTAAAGCTTGGAATGGAGAGTTGTCAGACAGTGTTGTGAAGGTGTGCATGAGGCAGCCCTATCCACATATACCCAAAGACATATGGGATCAGACTATGCTGAAACAAATGAAAAATCATCAACTGTACCTGCCTTCCCAGCTTCCATGGGCAGTTGGAGTGTGCAGAAAGGAAGGACTATCCTGCCACTGCTGTTCCTTTTCCCTAGGCTTAGAAGTAACTGGTTTTGGGTCCTGCTCGCCATGCTTTTAGCAGGGCTTATTGAGAACTTTAGGGCTATAAAGACAGATCATGTTGGTCATAGGTTGTAACTCCTAGAGAAAGGCACATATGGCTTTAGATAAAGAGAAAAGAACTGCTTTGCTTAGGATGGATTATAATGTGGGGATCATGATACCTGGCACTCATGTTCTCTAGAGATGAGGTGCCCTAAGTTGTGGCCCTAGGTGACTCAGAGAGGCAGATAGTTACCTTCTGCGTTGCTGTATATCAATCAGCATGGTCAGACCTCTCTTTTCTGGAAAATCATGATATGCTACTTCAACTAGTTTTTCTCAGGCCAGATGGTAAAAGAGGCCTCAACATTTTAAGTCCTAGTTCAAATATCAGAATAAAGGAAGAGACAGAAGAGAAGGCCCCAAGATATGCCTCTGTTCTCCAAGGAGAAAATGCTAAGAGACACAAAAAGAATTTTGATCTGCTGGTCCTTAAAGGATCCAGGATTCTTTTGGGGGGAGGGGTGTCCACATTATGTCCCATAATTTGATATTATAGTTAGGAATTATTTGGGGCTTTTTTTATTCCCAAGTCTAGGAAACAAGTTATTAGCTTTTCCCTACAATGGGAAAAGGGAGGAGCCCAATATTTATTAATCAATTACTATCAGTCACTGGGTTGGATATTTTTACACTCAAAAATATCACTCTAGGGCTGGAGAGATGGCTCGGCAGTTAAGAGCACTGGCTGTTCTTGCAGAAGACTGGGGTTCAAATCCTAACAACCACATGGCCGCTAACAATCGTCCATAACCCCAATTCCAGGGGATCCAACTCCATCTTCTGTCCTCCACAGGTACTGCATGACACAGGTGCACTTGCATACATGCAGACATAACACTTATAAGCATAAAATAAATAAAATCTCACTCTCCTCAGTAGTCCTTTTGCAGCCTAGTTTATAGATAATTTCATAAAGACAGCAAGTGATCATGTTAGTTTTAAGACAGTCTGGCCTCAAAGTTCATGCTTTTGTTTTTCATTACACCTGCTTCCATTAGGATCCATAAAGAAAGCTTGTAAACAGATCCCTTAATATTGTGTCTCAGGAGTTTAAGTCGTAGGCAAAGATTCTGTGGGACTTTAGGACTAGTATTGATCCCCCCAGCACTGAACTGATTTACACCACATTCTTGGGGACATAAGTGTAGTCTGGTGACACTGTCAAGTTTCGTATTACTGAGACCCTCACAAAAAGGAGACCATACTTTGGGTACAGCTTTACTGTGTGCCAAACACAGAAAGATCTCTCAGATGGTATTTAACCATCTGCTTTCCAGAAGAAGAAATAGAATCTGTTCACCACTAAATGTGTAGAAAGACACAAAAGTAATAATGCTAACTAATATTTTTCTTGTTTTTTTTTTCCTTTCTTTTTGTTTCTCCCAATAACAAGGACGAAAGCTATGGTCTTGTGAATGGTAGGCAAATGCTTCACCAATAAACCACACTGCAGACAGAAAATAACATTTCTTGAACTCAGTTCTATGTTTTATAAGTTTAATTTATCAGTGTGAGGTTGTGAAGTAGATACAGTCACTGTAGATACAGTTTCTTCTCTATTTGATACAGAGAAGAAAATGAGATACACACAAATACATTCATTGCCTAAAGCCCCTCAACTAGTAAGACTCAAGCAGTGTAGCTTCAGAAAGATTTCTCAACACTATACTACTCTCCAAAATGCTTTCCCTTCTGACTAGTCGGTGTAGAGGGTCTTATTAAGAGCAGCAGTAGCACAGTGCCTACAGCACTCTGCCTACAGCTCGAGCAAGGAAGAGTAACCTACACAAAGTTCAGCAGCAGCAGCAGCAGCAGCAGTAAAACATTACTACTTGAAAAACAACCCATATGCCGTGAGCCGAATCACATAACTTATGAAATAGCTTTCCAACAATTCTGACAGTAGACCAGGGTGTTGAGTCTCAGATTTGAGTGTGCAGCAGAAACGTCTGGAAACATTGAAACATGAGTACTGGACTCCATCCCCTCAAAAAATCCTATTTCATAGCTGTGAGGTAGAACTCAAAACCTGCATTGCTAATGGGATCCCTGGGTGATACTGGCACAGCTAGTCTTGGGACTACACTTTGAGAACTATAAACACAGATAAAGAATCTTAGATTCAGAGAGGCTGTTATCCATTCAAGCCAGATTTCATAACTGGTAAAGGGACCAGCTCACACTTTAAACAACCTTTTTCTTACAAAAATTTCTAGAAGAACACAGTGCTTAAGGCAGAAGCACCTGGCTTGTGGTAAGAGGCAGGTACATTGTAAGTATTCATTGTGTATGTGTGTGTGTATGTGTGTGTGTGTGTGTGTATGTGTGTGTGTTTAAATATTATTTTTTAGAAGAAACATTTTATTACAGCTTTAACATACTCAATAACAAGTTTCCAGAGCAAAGATACACCTCTTTCAGAAGTGTCTATAAAATTTTTAGGTTTGCTGTTGAATTAATACAGTTATACGATATTGAACTCAGTATAAGCCCCGTAAGACAACCATGGTCAAGCAGTTTAAAAAATATCCCCATTTCATTTTAGAATATATTGTTCCTTGCAGAAGGACTCATTATTTTTGTTACAACACTGAGATATGTTGGTGCATGCATCTCTAATCTGTATGTATCTGATTATTA